CGTATCCCGATGAGGTGGGAGCATGGATACGCTCCCAAGACTTAAACACACAACGAAGGGCCATCCAGCGGCTTGAGGAGGCCCTGGCAAAGCAGACGAGAAAGGGAACCGACGCCCCGGACAACGGGAGCGGAGGAGCCCGAGTATCCAATGCCTAGCCAGAGCACAACATCCTCAAGATCTAGAGCCTGGGACTATAGGACTATTAGCTATAGTTTTTAGATAGGGAATACCCGCGCCCTGCGCGGACTTCCCGCACGCCGGATGCACAAAAATGTTGTTTCTCTCTCTCTCTCTCTACGGCCTTGCTTGCTTTGTGTTGTTCTTACAGAGGTGTTGCTATCCTCAGCACCGGACGAAAATAAGACAGTGGTCACTGCGCCCGAAATAAAATAATTAAAAACACTGATGTATAATATTATTGCAAAGCGTTCACATAGACCATCTTGTGTAGTTTCACCCACCACCGACACAAACTTTCGCCCGCTGCAGTTGCTATATGCCTGATCCGGAGTACATGTAGTGGCCAGACAAGGCGGCATCAAATGACGCTTCCTCTGCAGCGATTACGAATGCGCACGTCGCGCCTGCCAACAACAAGTGACGCAGGCGGTGCATCGCACAGCTGCTGACGCTTGTCGACGGCTGCAGATGCTGGCACCAAGAGCAATGCACAAACAGCATGCACTGCAGGCAGCTGTTGACGTCGTTCAACGGGCACACCTCGCTGACAGCCGATCGACCTCCACATCTTCCAACGTGGCATTCGTGCCTTGCTATAGAAGGGAACACGGGATTTAAGAACGGCACGGGCCAGCTCACGTTATTTACGAAAAAAAAAAAAAGTCTCGCCTTCTGTGCGACATCCGATTGGCTCATTACACGGCGAAGCGCGGCAGATTTCATTACAACGGTCACATCTGCAGAACAGCAGGACAATACAACCTCAGGCACAAAACATGTGTCATATATACGACCGGAAATTCAGCGAACGACGGTTATGACGCACAATTAATATTATATATTGTACAGAAACGACTTTTTTTTTCGGCTAAACTGATTATATACGGCATAGACTTGTACAAATTTACAAGACACGCTTTCATGGACGATGTACAGAAGACATCCAGAAGGTAATCGCTTCCCTATTGAAAAGAGATAAAGCTCGTCTCCATTCTGCCGACTCGTAGCGGTAGCCATCATGCATGATAACATCATTACAGGAGCAAAACGGCATGGCCAGAAAGACGCCAAATTCGGCTATCTTCGCCGAATACAGTCGGGAGTGCCCGCGTCCACATATCCTCTCCTCGTAAAGCGCGAGCTCAAGTGTAAAATGGCGGATAGTATACGTCAACAAGCGCATCGTCGTCTCCGTGGCGTTGGGTGTTCTTTAAACGTCATTACACGTTTATATATGGCCGCGCTGACGGAAAATGGCAGTTGTGTGACAATTACTGAACACAGCCGCACGTATTACTGCCGCTACGTTGCGTGTGGCAACCGAGATAAAGATAATAACGGTCGCCCGACATTTTGGAGTGTGCAAACATCGAAAACTACGTGGGCGCCTTTTTCGGCGCCATTATGGATTAAACGTGACAAAAGGGCGCCAAGCAAGTGCTGACGTGTTGGCGGCCGGTCATGCTTTGTCGTCGATGCGCTCCGTGTCAACTGAACTGCGGCACCCGCTCATTGGGGTCTTCGCCGCGCAGCCCAATAAACCGCATAGCCAGCACCGCGGCTCGAGCTCGTAAGCGTTTTCCTGTGACGCACGTCACCTGTGATCACTTTAAAAAGCTGCAGAAGATTTGCAGAGGATTTGCTTCCTGGCACGTTGCAGTATACATGTGAGCAACCACCTGCATAAAGCAAGCACCCCCACATGCACACGGTGACACGCAATCCACGTGAAAAACGACGAACGCGTTATGGAGCTTTCCGTGCACGACAAAAAATATAAAAGCGAAGCTGTAGGCCTCTATAGTTGGTGTTCGCGGCAGCTTACACACTTCCCTTGAAAAGAAGGCGTGTTTGGGCCCATCCCGGATATCTATTGCAAGTACTATAGTAGGAGTAATATTAATAATATACGCTGACGAGAAATCCGCGCTCCAGCACGTGGAGCCGTAGAGTTCGTCTGTGGTCGATCACGACGCTCTGTTCTAAAGCACGTAATTTTTCGATCCCCTGATAATGCGCGGCAACAGCTGCCTACACGCAGAGTTACAACCCGTAGCACTGCACAAACAAGTGCACGGTTGTGAATTTCAAGTCTGCCGCGGGAGATGTGCCCGCCCCCACTGATTCGCGCTATATATATATATATATATATATATATATACACTAATTTTCCCACCTTAAATATCAAAGCCAAAGCATCAATTTTAAGTTTCCCGCCTAAATCCCAGCTGCTTGGTGAGGACATGGATGTTGAAGTGTATTGTTCCTATTTTGGCGACAAAGGCTCAGCGTAATTTTCTGAAGCTTGGTATGTTGCGTCTCTGTTCTTCTCAGAGGACAACTTAATCCATTTTTACCGGTTAGGTCCTAGTTGATGCCGTCAAAATCTGAGGTCCCGATGATTGGCGCGACAATTTCAAGGTGGCATCGCCGCCCGCGCTGTCGGGGCAAGCGTGCAGGTAACTACTTTTACTTGTACGATTAAAAATGTCCTTATCTTCAGTGTACCTCTATAAAGCAGCCGCAGATTGAATTTTTTTATTCCTTTTTTTTTTCAACGGCTGTTAGCGCGTTTAGCAAACCCCGCTGTTCAGCCCCTTATCGATGCGTCTGTGCCTCGATCCAGATCAGAAACAGCAGCGGCTACGCAATGTTCCGGTCGCAGCAAATATTTCTGCACGTTAAATGAGATATGGCAAGTAACGATGCAGCCTTTCAGCCAGATGCGGATAAAGCGAAAGTGCGCGATGCGTATAAGGGCTGCAGCCGAGGAAACCATTGCGCTGTTGTAAAAGCGGCTAATCAGTTTAAATTATTAGATATATAGGTGAATACTCTTCAAGTACGGAAACTCGAACGCACTTGCTGTGGGATCAACGTTAAGCGAACCATGCGATTATTTCAAACTAATGAGAGGCAAAGAGAACAACTGCACTTTAGTTCTTTTCTGTTTTGTTCTGCATTTAACGCAAACAAGTTCAAGAGGTCACGTTACACGCAACTCGGACGCAGCGATGACTTGTCGCAAGCATTGTGAACAGCGTTGTACGTACCGCCAAGCGACGCTCACACCCGCGACAAACACATGATTAATCCGGGCGGCATTTCCCAGATATGCTCTTCACGTCTTTCCCGCCACAGATGATCGGGAGAAGCACAAAGAGATGCAGCGTAGCTATATACGATAAGTCTCCCGCAGAATCTGCCTGAGAGAACAGCTAAACTCTGGCGAATCTGTGGCATGGTGCAAGTATGGTCCTAACACATGTCATGAGCTGTTCATTTGATTGCAGTACTTCCAGGTTAGACCCACTGACTACAAGATCGGCCTAACTTACTCGGCGAAAACTGTCGAACGGAAAGGAAGCCCAGGAGCAGCTATAGTAGGCAAGGAATTTACAAGAAAAAAAATTTAAAACAGCCGTGGCGTTTAGTTTTGAGACGTAATCACATTGTTGCTTGAATTATAATTTGTTCTCGTATGAAAGTGATCGATGAAGAAGTAACAATACTTTGATCAATAAATATCATTCCACTAGATAAGCACCATCATTTCTTCATGAACTTCATATAGAAATGATTCGAGCGTTTTGAAGCTGCACTTTTTCTCCAACAAGTCATAGCCCGTGCGTGTCTCCTCTCAATGCTTCCCTATACCGGTGTCTTTTGATTGCGATAACCAATTCGTCACTGCTACACGGTACAGCCTAATCGGGGTCGAACTTGGCGCAGACGCTAGCCAAATCGGCATTACGGAGACAGATCACCAGGCACCGAATTCGACCGTCTTTATCTCGTTTCGAGCGAAATCCGGGTCGGCCCTGATCGCGATAAAGATTGCCCGAGTGACACTGGTATAAAACGGTTTACCTTCACGTTCGAATCCACATGAAAACAGTAGAGCACCATCGTAAAGTAGCCAGACAAAGGCGATGACATACGATGGACTTGACGTTTGTTTTAATGATGAATATAAACAATTAAAACATCTGGGAACCGTTGCAGCGGGAAACATTAACGAGCAGCGCGTACAATAAAGCACAAATCATTAGGAAATTAGTTGTTGCATGGCACTTTCGCAGTCAGAAAACCGTTCTTAGTTGGAAAGTATTTTCCGTATCGTTCTTCGCCCAAGCACACACACACAAGTGATTAACGTGAACAACCCGACTGATCTGCGTAGCGAGACAGTTTATACATAAATCTATTTTGGTGACCTAGGCACTTATGTGTGTACGCAGTCAGATGATGAATGAAAGCAAGCGGCGTGGTACTGCCACTAACAGCGCTGTTTGAAGCGTCAAAATTGATCCTAAATCTTGCAGGCGCGCACTGAAGTGAAACAGAGGAAAGTAATGCGGTAGGTCCCACAACCGTCAACCACCCAGAGGTGTATATAAGGAAAGCTGCCACGATGATTCATACCGGCCCAACCCTGCCACCGAAGCCGGCATTGGGCACACTGACAGCTACGACGCAGTCCACACGCTCGCCGGTCGTGTGGGCGCGTGCAGACAACAGCTCCGGGACATGCCCGATAGACGCATCGGACAAAGCTACCTGCGCTGCCGCAGCCTATTCAACCTGCGCCGTGACAGTTTGTAATGCCGATACGAAAGGCCGCCTAGCAGACAGCTTTTAACAAGGTCACATTTGGTGCCCGTTTTAAAACGCACCAGCAGAGAATCGACGCGACTGCTTCGGAAGAAAGTGGCAGTATGTGGTCACGCAGTTTAACAAGGGGGGCTGCTTGTGTCGCACTCGGCATGACACGGGTGCCGAAAAGAACGAAGGATGCTTCTCCGGGCTCCTCTCACCTCGGGTGTAAAGTCCCGCCAGCTCTCGAGCGCCAGCGTGGTGTGGGCCCCACCTTGGCTTCAGCTGGCCGTCGACTGCGTCGCTCGGTTGATATGTGTCCGAGTTGCTGTTCGGGTCGTCTTCGGGCATTGAGTTTTCGAGAATCTGTTTTTCAGTTTTGACGGGGGGTAATAGATTGCACGCCATTGCCATTTGAAGTCGAGACGGTCGAAATAAAAACCTTCAAAAATTAAAGAAACAGAAAGAAACGAAGAGCCGAACTCGAAGACGGACCGGTCTGCCCGCACGCTTCGCTATCACAACCTCATTTGCAAGCAGAGGCGCTGCTCCCCAACGGAGAGGGAATATAATACAGACCGCGCCTCTAACATGCGAAGTCGTAAATAGGTGGAGGTGAGCGCCATCTGGCCTAGTTGTATGTAACTCTACGCACCAAAGTATATATTTATATTTTTTACGCGTGACAAGTTTTGTGGGTAATAAAAAAACACATTTAATGAACACAAATTTTTTAGGAACATCAAATAACACCGAAAAAAATATGTGGCGCCGCTACGGCGCAGTGCTTGTTGACAGTTGTCGCCACATTTCGCGAAGAGGGCGCCAGTAGTTGTAGAGAGATCAGGAGAGCTCTTTCAGCGGGTAGGTCAAGATAATGGTTGTTTTAAAGGGCGTACCAACTCCTTTCGCGAGTGAGGCAAACTTACCTCACTCGTCAGCAGGGATTATATATATATATATATTATATATATATATATATATATATATATATATATATATATATATATATATATATATATATATATATATATATATATATATATATATATATATATACGCACACACCAGTAAGTTTAATCACACTTTAACAGGCCAAGGAATGGCACCCTTATCCTGTTTCCGCGTTCAATATGCGACGCTCATATTGCTATCACGCCGCTTTCTCTGATTATGCTTTGGCGGTTAACATCTACAAATACCACAATAGTTTAATAAATTTATCATGGATGTTAGTCGTCGGGATAGATACACCCGCGTTGGACGGGGCCATAGCTGCTAAACACCGAAACATACATTTCGCAAAGGCTTCTTTATCAAAGTACAGTAAAAATTTAATTACCCCTTTAAAGGCGAGTTTTATTTTCGTGTTATATGCCGATTCTTCGGACGAAGGGATGAACTATGTTTTTCAAGCAATGATTGCTGTTATATTTTTCCGTAAGAATTGCACTATCTTGCATATTCAAGCATGCCTGTATTATAACTTGCCTTATTTACTGATAGTCTGAATAGTGTATCTGAAGGGTGCAATTAATAATGTTGCTATTGTTTTATTTCTGTTAATAACTTATTGTCGACTTCTCAACCCTTTTTTATAAAAATGTATAATTTGTGGTGTTAGGGGCATAGTACATTGTTTACTTTAATTGTATTTGTACCAAAATTTCTTAACGGGCCCCTAGGCGCCTGCATAAATCCAGCAATTCAATCGGTGTAAACAAAGTTTTCCTTTGAAGTAACAAAATTTGGGTGGTTATAACGTTCAACAATCTCTCGTTGTCTCCTTCAGAAATGGTCATTAGCTGTATATTGAATAGAATTGAGTTTATTGCGCAACAAGGTTGCGAGGAGACCAGGCAAAAAAGCTGCAATGAGCAGCTTGGGGGGAACGTTGAGAAAATATTGGTGTAAGAATATTGAATATGTTGAGAGAATGTTGTCATGCACACAGTACCAGATTGTTACGCGAGGCAACAAATATGACGCGAAAATGACACATCACGTGCTGACCACTTATGTACGACCACGTAAAAAATAAAAGACTAAACTATTTTCGATTCGGCATATTGTTTGGCATTGGTTCTTCGGCATTTAAAATTTTCTGTAAGCCACAAAATTGCCTGCTTGTTATATGACGTCACAAAGCCAGAGACCATCTCAATCTAAATGAATTTCGGCTAGCTGCCAATCACATAAACAGCGGCTACATATAGCAGCTGGCAAGATGGATTATGAGTTTAATAAAACATTTCTACTTGTAGCATAACCGTGTTTAGTTGTTTGTGCACGTATACATCTTTTTGAGGTCATACTTGCTGAGAGAAAGAGGAATAGAGAGAAATAAGCAGAACTTCACGTGCGTACTTTTTTGCTGTCCGAGATGTGTTTTGATTTGTAAAATACAATTCAAGCTGAGTGAAAAACAACTAGCACGATTCCTAATTAAGCCTCCATGGTGATATAAACCACGGTATTTAACCTTCTCCCTGGTCCGATGGGTGAAATTGTGGGGCAAGCTTAGAAGCTGAGCTTCCTACTGAGCTCGAGTTCACTGATTCATGCGTGGCCACTTAGCAAGCTGCCGCAATGGCTCCAAATTACCATAAGCAAGGATCAGGTTTACCAGATATTAAAGCAGAAAAAAATTTTGGCATTTCAATACGTAAACAATTATACACCAGAAACAATTCGTCACACTCATCGGCTCGCAAAAGCTTCGACAAAGCAGTGGTGATGATATATTCTTTTCTAAGAAAATTATTTTCCGAAAGCAGCAAATGCTTTGACCGGTCCATAAACAATCTGCTTGTTCCCATCGGTAACTGCATCAACAAGTCATTGCAGAATAAAAGCATCGAGAAGTGATGTAATATTATAGGGTCCCTGTTTAACGCTTGCCTGCTCTGCAATACTATACAGGACAAGGAGCGAAAGTGTTGCCTTACTTGTTAGTTTTACCAGCCTGCAGCCAAGAGCGACCTTGGGGCACTAACGAAACTGTGTGTGTGTGTGGGGGGGGGGGGGGGGGCTCAGCCCCCCTTGCCCTCTTGGCTGATACGCCTATAGTTGTTTTAAATGCGAAGTATTTCTTAGCGAACTTCGGCGAGTTTGACCGTATCTGTCTATTCATCTATCCAGCCGCCTATGACTTTTAGCTCTCCTAGCCATTTGGATAATGGGATCTATACCAAAATTGGTATGGAATAACATAACTGTCTGACTAGCATAACTGCACTAGTCATAACATGAAAATCATGACATGTATGTCATGATTTACATGTCAAGGTCTTGCTGCTCCTGCGGTGGTTTCGTTCACATCACATATAGCAAAACTGCTATAGTATGACATGACTGCATGACGAACTTAAATGACAGGCCCTCACATGGAAATCATGACATGCATGTCATGTAAGAACATGACTACATGCCACGCTCATGATGCGCTCTCGGTCGTTTCGCTAGCCTCACATACACCAAGTTTGTTATTACATGACGCAAACGAACGACGAAGGTAAACTACATGCCCAAACATGATAATTATGACATGCGTGTCGTGTAAGAACATGACATGTCTTGCTCATGATGTGCTCGCGGCCCTTTCGCTAGCTTCACATACAACAAATTTGATATTACGTGACACAAACAAACGACGAAGGTAAATGACACGTCCAAACATGATGATCATGACATGCGTGCCATGTAAAACATGACTACATGCTACGCTCATGGTGCGCCCGCGGCTGTTTCGCTCGCTGGCTTCACATTTACCAAAGTTGGTATTACGTGACGACGAGTTTGCGCCAGGCATTTGTGTACGTGACGATATAAGCGCTGCTACTATCACAATATTATTCCTGGGCGCTTTTACAATGAATAATGTCTGCATACGGAAGAAAACAAAACATGTCGCGATGTATCTCAAGGCTTTGGCACTCTGTAAGATCTTGGGCAGGAATCTCGGCCGCGAGTGTTTCAAGTTGGCTCGGCGATGGGATTAATGGATTAGCAGTGGTCATACAAGTACCCGCCGGAACAGACCTCGCCAGAGTCGATCACTACGATAATTTTCAATATGCAGAGGTTTGTTTTATTGGAGAAAGCCAGACAGAGTTTGAGCCAGACAGGCCACATTAAATCGTATTACAGGGTGACTCTTCGAACGTGTGCTAAGCTAAACTCAGGCCAGAGAATAACATTTCTATTGAAGCTTAAGCTTCAATAGAAATGAATTCGCACGTTCTGCTATTGAATTAGCATGTTAGAATTCGCACGTCTGCTAACATCTAAGAGCGTGCGCGCACACACACACACACACACACACACACACACACACACACACACACACACACACACACACACACACACACACACACACACACCACACACACACACAGAGAGAGAGAGAGAGAGAGAGCGAAAGTTCGGTTCATATACCTCGTGCCAAACAACGTACAAACCACGTGAGAAATCCGCTCGTGCGCCACTGCACATGATGATTCTAGTACTCTGCAACATTGATTCTAGTGCTCTCCAACAACAGTGAAAAAAAAAAGGACAGGTACACCTCAATGAAACAAACACTACATAATAAAAAATTCATTAAAAAAGATATCAGCAGACAACACACGAATAAGTATTGAACATATTAGGAACTCCCTGCGACAAACAAAATATATGTACTTACATTAACATAATAAGTAAGGTAGAACAATAAGTAAAAGCCAAGCACTAGCTGAATGCTAACTTTGATTTCTCAGTGCCCTTATTTGAAACGAGACTTTGCAAAAACAAAATTCTAACAGGACCCCCCCCCCTGCCGTGAAGGCGGCTGTCCCAATTTCCTTCCACGTACGACCTAGGCTTCACATACTGATTTTCAAAGAGCTTTGTTGCTGCTCTTTTCTGCGTACGCAGAAGATCACAATAAAGTGGGTGCATTTCCAAAATTAACAATTGGCAAAGACAATTAACTCGGTTAAAATTTTTAAAAAATGCGGCCTGTTGCCTGTGCACTTTTTTCTCTTGTTGCTTTAGCCATCCAGCAGTTACTATTTATGACCATTCCAGCCTTTGTCAGCTCAAACATCTACTTTGGAGGAGGGCGGAGGTTCATCGCAGCAGCTTCCCTCCCAAGTAATCTAATATATGGGGCAGATTTGGCGCCCCCCACCCCTTCTACCTGCACACACCTAACCAAATGACACGCGCATTTTCAAGGAACTTTGTCGCAGCTGTTTTCTGCGTGCGTAGATAGCACAATAAAACGGGTATGTTTACCAAATTAATGATTGGTACAGACAGCTAAAAAAAAGCGTACTCTGTTGCACTTTTTTTTCGTTGGTGCTTTATTAGTCTAGCAATTACTTGTTCAACATTCCAGCCTTCGTCTGCTGAGACATCCACCTTGATTGGGAGGGGGAGCACTGGTAAAACTGCATTGTGAGGTAGATGCCATCCTAGTTTGTGCATCTGTAGAGATATATGTGAATAGTAAAAAACATATTTTTATTTTTTTATATCTCTGATGAAAAGATAATTAGCGATAATATCTGTGGTTAA